GGGGGGGGGCGACCACTGCGAGCCCTCTTCTCCCAGGTTTCTTCCACCCCCGTCGGAAACACCCCAGCTAGAAACGTTTCCGGCGCCATCCCTGGCGTTTCTTTCCAAGTGACTGAAACGCGGAAGTGGCGATCCAGTGCACGTTTGCGCGGAAGCCAGTCCCGCTGCGTTTCAGGGGAGTTTCCACCAGGTCAGCGTGCAGGGGACAAAGGTCAGCATGAGGCTGGGGGCGGGGGAGGGAGAGAAGGAGGCGTGTTGGAAAGGACACGAGGATTCAGTACTCCGAGCGAGCAGGGCACGATACAGGGAGCTCTCCTAATCCGTTCTCCCGTTGAGGCTCTTCTACCTGGCTGACAGAGATGTTGTGGGGGGCCTGGGAGACAGGAGCAGGACTGGACCAAGTCCGCGTCTGTGGGAAGGCTAATTCCTTCCTGGAGTGGGGTGTGTGGGCATTCCACGGCCATCCTCTTTCCGCCCCAGCGAAGGGGGGGGAGCATCCACTTGATATGCACCCCCCCCTCTCTCCACAGTTGCTAATGGGGAGAATGAAACGTCCTTGCAGGGTAAACCCGCGGTCTGAGTGCGAATTTAGACGCTGGTTTCGGGATGCGCAAACGACAACCACTTAGCAATTTGTTTTTTAAAAAAACCCCGTTGATTCCCATAACGTTAGCCGGACTCGCCGCAATTTCCTGGAAGCGATTTTAATGACTTCCTTCCGGGGAAGTGTGCGCAACATTGCGTCTTAAGACTGACATTCGAAGCACGTTGACTTTCAGGCAAATCCCATCAACGAGGCTGATATCTGAGTAAACATTAGTAGGTTCGGGATATATAACCCCAAGAGCAGGTCCTCGGGACTTCCTTCCTTCCGAGTAAACATGTCTAGGTTGTGCGCGTGTGTTCGGCGTACACCGCTGTAGCGTGACGGAGGTAAGCACAAGCGGCTCGGTTCCCTACAGAAGCGACAGGGGGGTTCTGTGCTCAGCACGTGGGGGTTTTTGGGGGGAGGGAACTCAAAACAATAGAGGTCGTTTCATACTCGGCTGCTACTTGCCCCCCCTTAAGAGTCCCTCACCATGGGTCTGTACAGGTCAGTCGAGGGGACGGCAGGCAGAGAGACACTTCGCGCCTCTCTGCAGGCGGCCTGAGACACTGAGAAAGAGCCCTGTTGTGCCATCTGAAAGAGGAACGAAGGGGTGGCCTTTCCGGACCAGAGATGTCTGACCGAGCGGCCTTCCTCCTGCCCCAACCGAGGCAGGACTCTTGGGCTTTCTGGGGGTGGTGGTCTTGGCTGCGATGGACTAACAAGGCCACCCCCAGCGGTCCTCGGGAGAAATGAAGCCCGTCTCTAAACCTCCCGATTAGTCCCGGACGACACAAACAGACGAAACGCGTTAAAAAAAAAACCACCCACCCACCCCTCTCCGTTCCTTTGGAGAAGCAAGAAAGCAACATTGTTAAAGAATCTGGGAAGAGGAGGGAGGGAGAGATGACGATGACCATCTTAGAGTTAAAGAAATAAAACAAGGACGAGAGAGAGAGAAAAAAGCAAACGATTACGAGAAATCACACGCCTCCAAGCTTGCACGGATGTTACCTTTTTATTGAACAATCAGATTCTCTCTCTCTTTCTCTTTCATTTCCTCCCCCTTCCTTCCCGGGTCTCTTTCTCTCTCAAGAGTTCCCGGACGAGCTTTTCCTCCTAGCCGCGTGTCCTTAAGCAGCACGGTCTCCTCAGGGCCAATCAAGGCTTCCTCCGCTTTTATTTATTTATTTTTTGGGGTGGTGTTTCGTTTCTGCAAACCCTGGGGGGGGGGGATTGCAGAGAGATACCTGTTTGGGAGGAGGCGGGGGGAGAGAGGAGGGGGAGAGTTTCATTGGATCTCTCTCTCTCTCTCTCTCTCTCCCTCGTTCAGCTCTTTGGCTCTCCCCTAAATCAAGGTGCGAGGGATGCCAAAGCGTGATGAAATGCAAAGAAAGCCAATTGCTGGCCTGAGGTGGGGGAGATCGCTCCTCCGAGTCCGCCCGCGACTGTGGAGCAGGCAGTAATTGCTGGAGACAGCCCGAGCTGGGGGGCTGGGCTGAGGTAGCCGCGTATAAATAGTCTGATCTCAAATTGAAAGGCATAAATAACAGCAGGAGGGATCGAACCCCCTTCCCGGCGCCCCGTCTTTCCGCGCGGCCCTGCGGCTGGTGGCGGAGGCTGAGGATGATTTAAAACACCCGGGCGCGCACGCACACACCCGCACCCGGGCCCCAGCCCCCTTCTCGGAGCCGCTTGGGCAGAGGACGCGGCCGGCTCGCCGGAGCGAAGGCGACCCCCGCCAGCCCCCCGGCCAGGATCTCACGGTGGATAAGCCTTGCTTCGCCCTCCCCTTCGCCATGGAAGAGCTGACCGCGTTTGTCTCCAAATCTTTCGACCAGAAGAGCAAGGAGAGCAGCGGCGGCGGAGGAGGCGGCGGCGGCGGCGGAGAAGGAGGCGGCGGCGGGGGCAGCGGCGGCGGGGGCCCGGGAGGCAAGAAGGACACCATCACCTACCGGGAAGTTTTGGAGAGCGGACTGGCGCGCTCGCGGGAGCTGGGCAACGCCGACGGCCCCAGCCTGCAGGAGCTGGCCGAGACCGGCGCCCACTGCCCGGTGCACCTCTTCAAGGAGCACGCCGAGAGCGACAAGGACAAGCTGAAGGACTTCAACCACGCCGGCCGGACCGCCGAAGGTAAGCGACGCCCCCCCCCCCCCCCCCCCCCCCCGGCCGGTCTAAACAATAGGCGGCCCGGAGGAGAAGGGCCGCGCGCGGACTGGGTACCGTCGCGTCGCGTCCTTGGCTTCGTTTCCAAGATCCCCTTTACGCGGAGCGAGGACTGCGCCTCCCCACCGCGGCTTCGACTGGAGCGAAATGTTAAAGGAGGGAAGGGGTGCCAGAAATGTGGGGGTCACAGAGGAGTTGGGGGGAAGACGGGGCGAAAGAAGAGGGGGACATGCCCGGTTGGGTTTTGTCTGTTTCTGGGTGCGCAAACACAGTCCCGTTTTGTCTCCCCGTCAGCCTCGCCGCGGCTCAGCTCCTTCCTCTCGAGTCCCCGCGGTTAGATCGAGTTTTCCCTCCTCGGCCTGATAGCTCTTTGCCACTCGCCGTTGCCCAAAGAAAGAGACATTTGAAATGGGCCCAGGCGGGGGACTTAATGAGAAAGTTGAGAAAGTGTTCGGCGGCCATTCGGACAGGTTTTGAGTCTCCTGGGCTCGTCTGGCGGGATTGGATACTGCCGGGCCATCGGGCCGAGAGAAAAACGACCAACAAGCGGCTGCTTTAAAATAAAATTAGGAGGAACAATCGAACACCTAATCGTCGGCTAGGCCTCTTTTCCCTGGTTGCCTCAATCGGCTCCTTGACTTCCTGAAATAATAAGGGGCCTTTGGAACCGTCCGTGTCTCCCTCAAGCTTCCACTCTTCTTAAAATCAACATTTTCCAGAAAGGCCTTTTCGCTAAAATCTGCAGGCTCCATAATAACTCAGTTTTGCATACGCTTCGTAATTCTGTATTTTTGTATCTACTAAAACCGCTCTATTGGAAGGGAAATGTTAAAAGTCCTTGTAGTAGTTTAAATTATGCTTAATATCCCCCCACATACATGCTTAAAAGTCTGATGAACGTGTGACAGTGAAACATGAGCACATTTATTCACGCTACACAGTATTATCCAGTATTTAAATTATATATATATTCTAAATACTGTATGTTACTGTATAGTACTGTATTCTGTCTCTCTCTATATTGTACTTTACTTTATAGTACTGTATAGCGTGAATAAATTTGTTCATCTTTCACGCACGCGTATATAATCATTCATTTTAGTCAATGTTTGAATTATTACAGGGCAAATGGCACAGAGGAGGTCTAGCCGTAGCGTCACAGCAAACATTACACAAACAAAATCATTACCATATTTGTGAATGGTTGGAACGCTGAGACTTGTAGCCATCAGAATAATTACAGGGGGGGGGGGGAGCCGTTCCATCACTCACGAAAAAGGGGAAATGCTGCGATCAAACACGCCCGTCTGGAAGTCAGTTCTAGTGAAATAAGGTGTAAGTGACTTCCGGATAATTTGTTGAGAGATCTGGCTGGTAGTGACTGCGGTCAGTTAAAATGGTGTACCGTTGTCTGACCAGTTTTGTAGCCAGAAAGTAGAAAGCAAAAAACAACAAGAAACGATCACGGGATCTTACTCTTTTGTCGTCCCGTCCCCCCCGTTATTTTAAGGGCACCCCCCCAATAACGTGGCCACCGAAGAAACGGAAAGATATCTGATCCTGACCACGCCACAGCTGTTTGCCTTGATGTTCGGTTTGAGACTTGCACGGGAATGCGAAGATACTTTTACTTTCCAGCGTGTCCCACTGAAATCAATGTTTTTTACCCGCTAAGGAAAATTGTTGCTGAGATCCAGTATCACAACCCTAAACTCGAGTCCTCGGACGTAATTCGTATCGATTTGCACGAGACATTCCCGTGGGAGTGCATCTGGGCGCTCATTTCCCTGCCTTTTCGGGGGAGGTGGGCGGGGGGGGCCACAGCGAAGGAGGGAAAAACATCCCTCGGGCAACAGAGCTAGACAGTAAAGGAGGAACTGTGTCTGGCCCGGATCCGAACACAAATTGTTCTTGATTCTCACTTGTGCTGAAATCCGTAGGCTCCACTTGCCAGGGATGCTTTTGGGCTTGCTGTGTTTGTAGCAGGTAAAAAAGGGAAACAACAGGACGCTGCACCCCAAAGCTACTTAAGTAGCATGTGGTTCCCACGGACCTTGGTAGAGTTTAGTTCCCAGGAAACAAAGAGGCTGGGTCGGGCGGAAGAACTTGAACCCAGGCCTGAGCAACCGGAGGCGGCAAGTCCAGGAGAAGAGATCTGCTGTAACCCCCCCGCCCTGCCCTGCCTCGTCCCTGTCGCCTTCAAAGCGGGTCTCGACCAGTTCAAAGCCATCTCGCCTCCCCCCCCCCATGAGCCACCTCATCCCACCGTCCTTTTGTGGGGGCCTGACGCGTGGTGGAAACCGAAGGGGCCGGAGGAACACAAGCAGGTCAGCCCGTTTTCGGGGCTTGCCGAGCGCAGGGGCCAGAGGCCACGGCCTCCGAGGGCTGCAGCAACGCCGAAGGAGATGGCCTGGGGGGCTGCGGTGGGGGTCTTCTCAGGGCATTCGGGCCGGCTCTGCCCTGCCAAAGGACCACCGAGCTCCGTTCCTTCCTGGGCGGGGAAGGGGGGGGGGAGAACTGGGCCTGCTGCTTCCAACAACGACGGGACGGCCGCGGGCAGAGGGGACCCTACTCCGGCCACAGGTTGCCCGTTCGCCTGATCGCTTGGCAGGCAGCAGGGCTCCTTCTCAGGCCTTGCAGTCTCCCGCTCCCGGGTTCCCTCGCCGCCAGCGGAAAGCTCCCCTCAGCCCGGCCATGGAGCCCGGGGCAGAGGCCCGCCTCCCTTTCATGTCAGGTGCCCCCTCGGAAGCCTCTCTGTTGGAGGTTTACATTTCAGTTGCATTCAGGCCTTCACCTTTCTCTCTCTTGCTTCGGTGTTTGAATAGCCTCACATCTTTTCAGAAAGCAACACATTCCCTCCCCCCCGTCTCTCGGTGGCTCACGGAGGCCCCGATCCGCCTCATGGCATCCTTTTCCCGAAGACAGCTGGCCCAGCGAAGGCATTGCGGACCTCCCCCCTACCCCCACGCCTCCCAGGCCTTTCTGCCTTCGCCGAAGGGTGTCATTTCCTCTTTTAATAGCTCGCTGGGACTGAAACCGCCGCCAAGCTGAGGCTCAGGGGGGACATCCGGTGCTATAACTCTCTGCTCTGGAGCCCAGGCTTGGCAGCGGGGAAGGGGCCAGGCCTGGTATAGCCGTGAGGGTGGGAGACGGAGGGGACGGGTCGGGTGCGCCCAGCCAGGCCCCTTCGAACGAGGGACAGCTGATCACCTTAGCTGGAGGCTTCGGTTCTTGCTCCAAGGGAGTGGGCGGGAAATCAAGAGGCGCACTAGCCCCACTCTTCTTCTGGACTCTGGTATCTGAACTGCTAAACATGGGATGAGACCATTAATGTTGCCAGGGAACCACAAACCCAAACCCGTCGCCTGAGAAGAACCCCAGACCCTCCTTCGGCCAGAAGGAGAAGCGCTCTGTGTAGCCCCGGCTGGCGTCGTCTAGGAGGATTGCGGTGTGTGTGTGTGTGGGGGGGGAGGAGCGGTTCCCCGTGCCAGGGGCCCGTGGCGTCCAACGGTGTGGTGTCCCTTCCCTTCTCCCTCGCAGGGATCTACGAGTGCAAGGACAAGCGGGAGGACGTGAAATCCGAGGACGAGGACGGGCAGACGAAACTCAAGCAGCGGCGGAGCAGAACCAACTTCACACTGGAGCAGCTGAACGAGCTGGAGAGGCTCTTCGACGAGACGCACTACCCGGACGCCTTCATGCGGGAGGAGCTGAGCCAGCGGCTGGGCCTGTCGGAAGCCAGGGTCCAGGTAAGCGCCGAGGGACGGGCGGGGGGGAGAGAGAGAGAGACCCCTGCCGGGCCGGGCCGCGCGCTCTGGACCCGGAGCTCCTCCTGGCTGACCCCCGCGGGCAAGGCCGACGGCGCCGTCTGGGAAGGGAAGCGGCAGGGGGGGGCCCCGCCCCCCAGGGCGCCGAAAAAAAAATTAAAAAAGGAGGCGTGTGGCGCGGGAAGAGGGGCGACTCCGGAGAACAATTGGTGCAGATGAAGCCAGGCTGGCTGGGTGCTTGGGGACTGGATTATCTCCAGCCAGCGGGGGAAACGGCCCTCCATTTGACTTGCATGACAAGGGTATGAATTCATGGGCCTCCATCTGCTCTGGGTCTTTCCCCCCTTTTTTCTCCCTGAAAACAGAGGGTCTCCCAAACCCCCGCAGAATTGTTTCTCTGACGCTGAGATTTTGGCCCAGGGATCTGTGCTGTTTATTATTTTTAAAACGTCCGCCATTTAGTGGTGGTTCATTAGAGGCCAGAATGGGAGGCGGAGGGGGGGGGGCGCGAAGGACACGGACACAAATGAGGTGGCAAACGGGGGCAATCAGTGTCGCATCGATTTCTCCCGCCAGATGCTACAGGGAAGGGGGGGGGGGACCAGTGAGGCCATCCGGTAGGACGGCAAGCGAAGAACAAGCTCGATTTGAGCGCCGGGGCTTTTAATGAACGGCTCTTTGATTTCCCCATTGAGGGACGGAAGGCGGGGGTGGTGGGTGGTGGTGGTGGTGGGGCGTATATTCAGAGAGCCCGTTTAAAGCCGATCCCCCTAATACAGTTCGTTGCATCGGCTTATTGATTTCAAGGGGCCCGACGTCCATCTCACACGCTTAAAACGCCTGTGCGTAAGGATCAATGGTAGGAGCCGCGTTTTGGAAAGCTTAGGACTCCCGGTGTCTCTAATCCCCTGCCTTCATCCCATGTCATCTAACTTTTACAAGGCATGGGGATTCGCCAGATTTCCCCTTAATAAATGAGAAGGAAAGGGGGTTAAAATGTCTTTTTTTTAAAAAAAATCTTCTTTAAAAAATTCAAATCCCAGTTGGGAGGCTGGGGGGGGGGGGTTAGGGGCCCTTTAAGAAAGGATAGTGTGTGTGTGGGGGGACTACTCTGAGGGTGAAGGAGCTGCTGGTGTCCGTTCCTCCCCCTCCCCCACGGCCGAAGATTGATCTCACCGTCCAAGATAAATGAATGAAAAGATTAAACTTTGGCTGAAGGGGACATCAACTTTTATGTCATCGTTCCAAGTCCTGCTAGCCCGGGCTCTATAATATCTTGCCAGAGCCTTGATGTAGTGTTTCTATAAAAATAAATTACTGGTAGTGTTTCTATAAAAATAAATTACTTGTAATTGAATTCTGCACTCTTCCTTTCAAGTAGTTTATTACCGGCGTAGCGAGGCACCTTAACAGGATATTCAGAGTTACAGGAAAATTGGTGTCTCGAGCGTTTGCAGGTCTTGAAATATTCCCCCTTTCTCCTCCCCCCTTTTCTCCCCTCCCCCATAAGTCTTTTTCATTCTTTCACATGATTATCTGGATTCAGGTGGGAATTCCAAACGAGGGAAAGATCCCTCCCCGTCCCACCCCCGCCCGCAAGGAGCCACGGAAGCAATCGAGAAAGAGCCATTTGACAGAGAATCCTTAAATCAAGACATAAACACGGCTTGATCCGCCAAATGGGGCTCAATCGGCTGCTTCTTGCGGATGAAAGAGAGCGAGAAAGGAGAAAGAAGGGGGGGGGGACACGCGCGGAGAGCCCCAAAGATATTTTAATACTGGCAGAATTGCTTCCTAATCCCCGTCTGTAGCGCCTGTCCCTTGTTGTTAGAGGATCTAGTTTCAATTTAGTGTGGAAAAGTGCTGTAAATAAATTGGAAGCTCCGACGGTAGCGACTCCTTATTAACCTTTTATTTTTAGTGTTGTACCGGCAACTCATATCGCCCAGCTGTCAGGGTTATAATTGAAAGTTATGAGACCATAGTGAGGAGCAGGCAGTAATTCAATTACGAGCAAATATCTCCGGGTTTTATGGCGCAGGGCTAAATTAAATGTCATTATTCACTGTCTCTAATGGAAATCAAAAGGAAATCAGATTAGAGCATTTGTGAAAGAAATCACTGAGTGATCCTTAATGAAGAAATAACTGTCTAAAACACTGTCCCGCGCTTTACTTAGCATATTCATGACTAGTTGGAATTGATCGGGAATCACACCCGGCTTGATTTATTATGGCGGGGCGCGCTGGCTAATTCATCACTTTTATATTCCTCATCACTTTCCCCCTTCCAGAGAGCTGGAAGGGAAAGGGGGCGCGCTTCCTGCGGCGCTTTGGGAGAGCCAGCCGAGTTCCAGAGCGGCAGCTGACGGGTTCCGCTCCCTCCAGTGCCCCCTCCCTTTAACGCGGATCAGTTACCCCGCCGGGCACTTTCCTAGCCACCTCTGGGCCAGCATTCGGAGGCCGGCAAGCAAGAGACTTGCGATCAACCGGCATCCAAAGGGCTGTAAAAACCCTCCCTAGTCTTGGCCAGGGTGATTCTCTCCCGCCCCCCCACCCGAGTTTGCTCACTCCACCCTTGTTGACGGGTGCCAGGTATCCTCAGTCCGCGTTCGCTTCGAGGCAGTGCGTGGTGGTTGTTCCGGGATCGTTACTGCAGAGTAAAGGCTGTAAACGAACTGCCCGATTAGTTCCCCTGTAATGCGTTTAAGCGCACAATCAGGCTTTCTTTGAACGGAAGTCCCCTTCAAATTAATAATAACGGTAATATTAAACCAGAGATGGGAAAAGATTTCGGCTTAATGACCCCGGACTAACCTATCTGGATTTAAATGATATGATTAAAAGGATGTTTAGGACCTGCACCAAGGCTGCTACTGGAAATTCGTACTGGAAATGCATGCTAACAAGGAAGGGCCATAATAGATATTTCAGGTACTCAAAAGATCCCCCTGGCAAAACAACTTTGTGCTTCATGTCTGAAGAAGCGTGCTTGCACACGAAAGCTCATACCTTGAATAAACCTTTGTTGGCCTTAAAGGTGCCACTACGGGACTCGAACTTTGCTCTACCGCTTCAGACCAACAGGGCTGCCACACCTGAATTTTTGTTCTTTATGGTAGTTCGTTAGTTAATACAAGGGGAGGGGGGAGTTTTCATTCGAAGTGGGACATTCGTTTTGGCAAATGAGCCCCGAGCTCCAGAGGGAAAGGTTTGGGCGGCGGACTATGCGCGGTGCTTGTGAAACGGAGTTTCATTAAAATCCATGGGATTTCCCCCCCGGGGGGGGGCGGGGGCGGGAACGAAGACGGTTCCGGGTCGAAGCGCGAGTCAGCTCGCACTCCCCAGGCTTCAAGGGACAGCCAGGAAGGCCGGGCGGGGTTGCATTTCAACAGATGCCTGCGTGTTGCCCAGCTGGGGGAAGCCAAGGCAGCAGGGGAGAAGGGCATCGGGCACGGGAAGAGCGCAGAGTCCTTGGCTAAGGTCGGTTCTCTCTGTCTCTGTGT